TGAGGTCTGTGAAATAAGGTGTAAATAAGGACTTGGAATTAAGATATTCTTTACAATAGAGTACATCCAACTAGATTTCTTTTTCATATTTTCCAACACTTTGGGACACTCTTGAAATATCTCAAGCCAAAATATCAGAAAATTAAACGCGTAACAAATCATGAAGAGAAACAACTGACAACATGCACCGGGAAAATTCAAATTTCTATACAGATGAGTCAAAACATCAACAAAGCTCAGTAAAAAAATCCATCATAAAACAATTTTTATCCATTCCCTTCTTTCTTAACAGTAAGTATTATACAAAGAAATCCTTTGGTGAGATACAGAATTAATGTTAGCAAACCCCTACTTTCCCAGCTTTTCTGGGTCTTGTCTTTCAAAATCCATACTTTCGAAAGTAATGTTCGATTCTTCCGCTTCCATTGCAATCGGTTCTGGTACTCCCTTTTCTTCTTCAGTTTTTGCTTCTTCAGCAGCTTTCGCAGCCGCTTCTGCTGCCAATCGCGCATTAATTGCAGCCTATAAATAAAAACTGGATTCGTTTTGAGAGAATTCTAATAACTAGTTCTGATACGGATTTACATGAGAGAGAAAACAATTAAATTAAAGAATCATTAGGCTAAAAGAAACAAATCTTTATAAATTATTACAAATTTAACAAATGCAACACATGTGCAAAGTGACCTCTCTTAACATATACAAATTGTACTTCTTAAATATCTGTTAATGGATCGAATCATTTCAAAGTCAAAAAAAAATCAGAAACAATTACCTGACGAGCATCGAAATAATCCTTCATGTGCTCTTTATAGCTTGCCTTCATCTTTTCCATATTACTCATGTAGAACTGGTGGACGAATGTGCACATATGAACCGTATCTTGGATCTGAACTGGTTTGGATGGCGGGGGTTCACCATTCTAAAACAGAGTGGCACCCTTGTTTAGAGAAAAAACCTACTAAAATCTTGACAGCATTTATGTTATCTGAGATCAATTGAAATAGTGAAACAGAAAAAAGACATATTATTTCGAAAGAATGGAACAAAAAGGCGGATTGTTTTGAAAGAAGAGGAAAAAGTAGTTTACCTTCCGAGACATTGCATATGTTTCATGAGGTATTATCATTAGTTTTTGTGGATATTTGCATAACTGAAAAGAAAATATGTTCGACATTATTTTTTTTCCAGATTTCAACATAGATTTAAATATTTGAACAATGATTGACAATTTTAAGATTAGAAAGTACTTTTGAGTAACCAAACTATCATCTTTAAAATATAAAAATTCTTACCCGCTGAAATGCAGTTGCAAACTCAAGGCAATTTTGGAACAAACTGACTCGTCCCAATACATAAAGACCTAAACGTGCTCGAGAAAGAGCCACAACTAAACGACGAACATCCCTAGAAATTAAGGTGTTAGTGTTGCTTATTAATATCAAAAAGTAGAAGACGGAAATTTCTTGAAGTGTTGTAAACGTAAACCAGAAAATATTAAGGTAGATCAAAATCAGAGATAGACCCTCAATTTGTAATCAAACCTTAAGTGACCAATGTTTCTCGTCCTTACAAGTGAAAGAATGATGTAATCATTCTGCTGTCCCTGATATTTGTCAACTGTCGAAATCTGAAAAATGATACTACATCAGTCATCATAAGTGATCAATATCAACTATTATTCGATGAAGAGTTATAATGTATCTCTTCTCATTTCACGATTAAATAAGGCATGGCGTACATTCTGATGCACTGGAAAGTTTCTCTATACTAAACGGAAATCACATAATTGCATACTAGATAGAAATCACATAACTCCATAAGACGAAAGGTTTAGAAAATTTGACACGAAAAATTACTATATAAAGGAAGCATCCGAAAAATGACATATTCTGAGAACTGGTAATAACAGACCTTGTGTGGTACTCCAATTAACGGATTTCCAGCACATCGTGTCTGCACAACATCACGTAACAAAGATGCTTGGCCATTGTAGGTTGTTATAATTGATATTTTTTCTGCAGGGTAACCCAAAATACGCATGTAGGTGAACAGTGCTACAGCGTATTCTGCTTCGCCGAGATTCTGAAAGGAATTGCGTCTTAATTAAAGACTTTCCCAAATCAGAATGAAAAAAATGAGAAAGCAAACCTGATAAAAGTAAGGGCTCGGAGTAGTTTCACCAATACCATTGAAATCTGGGACGTCGATAAGTTGATAATTGAATGCGAATCCAGAATTTGCGCGCTGGAACTCTGGAAAAGCTTCAATATGCGGCAAGTTACCCAACTGTTCATATCGCCAATTATAAAGATCTGCTATCCTGAAATATACCATGTTAAGGGTTCGTGCTGACTTGAAAAATTCGTCAAGAATTATTTTGATAATTCCAAGGATATGTGCCCAAAACATACTCAGCTCTAGCACGACCCTGCTGATTAAGCAGGACATGTGGAACACCAAGTCGAACAAATCTCGCAAACAGGCTCTGTTCCATGTTAGAATATTTTTGAAAAGCAATGTTCTGAACAACCGGCGGCAGCTGATGATGGTCACCAATCATGATCCATCGCTTTAACCTGCTCCTACCATCTTGAGGGTTCTAAAAATCATGGTATTACAATGACTTGTAGCAGAGAAAGATTTAATAAAACAATCTGAACCTTGATATAAGTGAATAAATCAAAGAATTTGGAATACAGAAATATACTTCGTCATTTCCAGTTACCTGAAGCAGAAGTGGAATAAATGTTTCAACTTCAAGAATTTGAGCAGCTTCTTCCATTAAAATAGTGTCATATCTGAAACCAAGTTCTACCAAGTCTTTTCGTCGTAAAGCGGCATGAGTGCAAGTCATAGCAATAATTTTGGCTTCCTTTACCTGAAATCTTTGGAATAACATTGCTGAATTCGGTTTGATCACTATAAAGATGCAAATGAAAATCAAAAAATGTGCACAAAAGCATCATCTCAAAATTAACCAAAAGATAATCCGTACGGTCCCTGCCTGAACGTAGCAACTCGAAAGACCTAAATTCTTCCAGCTGAGTGAAAATACCACGAATATACCGCCAACAGCCTTGAGCAATTTCCCAGTCTTCATCAAAGGAAACACCCTAAAATCGTTAAGTAAAAAAGAAAAGACAACATATGCTTGGTTTTAAACGGAAAACCACATTAATGAAAGGAATCAAATTATAAAGTAATGCAAACAATTTCAATATATTTTTATCCATCATGCGAAGTCAGCTTAAGAGCATTATATACAAATCACTGATCGAAAAGGATGAAAAGTATTTTTTACCTTGAACAGCGGTGGTGGAACATCGGTAAAATATCTCGTAAAGGGGAAATGATCCGCAACTGCTTTCGCACTAGGATTTGGATTTGCTTTCGATTGAGCAACATCACTTTCAAATTTTTCCCAACGTGCGAATACCTGAATGATACGCATGACAAATCACACATTTAAGGTGATATGGTAACAAGCGATAAAATTCATAGAATTAATTGGAGATGCTAAGAATTACAGAATAAAATACTTACTTTTAATCAGCAAATTACTGAAAAGAACAGCAACAAAAGATTACAGAGGAATTGTAGTAAAGACCTGATAAAGAAAGAAATATCCAGCAGTTTCGCACGTGTAAGATACGTCACCTCCAACATCGAGAGCTT